CAGAGTCTGCCTCTCTCTCTCCTACCCAACCCCCCGTCCATCCTGCTCTTCTCTCTCTTCCTGCCCCACCCCTGCGCCATCCTGTCTCTCTCTCATCCTGCCCCACCTGCACCTCTCTCGTCTGCCTCTCTCTCTACCCCAACCCTCCCTCCTCCTGCCTTCTCTTCTCTGCCCAACCCTGCCACCCCTCCCTCCTCTCCTGTTCTCTCTCTCTCTCCCTGCCCAAACCCTGCCACCCTTCCCCTCACCTCCTGCCTCTCTCTTCTCTCTGACTGCCCCAACCCCTGCCACCCTCTCCTTCCTCCTGCTTCTCTCCCCTGCCCAACCTCTCCCCTCCCTCCTGCTCTCTCATCTCCCCCCAACCCTGCCACTGCCCCTCCCTCCTGCCTCTTCTCGTCCTCCTGCCCAACCCTTGCCACTCCCTCCCCCTGCCTCTCTCGTCTCCCTGCCCACCCTGACAACAACCCCCTCCCTCCTGCCTTTTTCTTCCTGCTCAACCTGCGACCCCTCCCTCCCTCCTGCCCGCAACCCTGCCACGCCCTCCCTCCCTCCTGCCTCTTATCTCTCCTGCCCACCCCTGCCCTAATCCTGCATTCTCGCTCTCTGCCCAACCCCTGCCACCCTTCCCCTCCCTCCGCCGTGCCCCTCCTCGGCCCGGCGCACCTGCGGCCACTTCTCCTCCTTGCCGTCATCCGGGAGCTTGACGAGCGGGGGCTTGAGCCGGTAGCTGCCGTCCAGGTCTTCGCGCGCTCCCGTGATGTCCAGCTCATCCTCGTAGAAGAGTCCGGAGTTGTACGCGCACGCGCGGTTACGCACCGCGCTGAAGCCACACGTGCACTTGTACTGCGACTCGCCGGACGTGTCGACGAGGTAGACGCCCACGTCGCCTCCCTGCAGCAGCAAGGATGTGCGCGTGCGTGCGGGGTGAGCACAGCGCGAATATACACACGTACATATACACACATGCACACACCCACCCACGCGAGCGCGCACGCATACACATGCGCACACATAGACGCCCACGTCGCCTCCCTGCAGCAGCAAGGATGTGCGCGTGCGTGCGGGGTGAGCACAGCGCGAATATACACACGTACATATACCCACATGCACACACCCACCCACGCGAGCGCGCACGCATACACACGCGCACACATAGACGCCCACGTCGCCTCCATGCAGCAGCAAGGATGCTCGCGCGTGTACACGCACACATACTCATACACGCACTCACGTACGCACACGCACGCACGTACACACACGCACGCACATATGCACCCACACACCAGGCTTTCCAGCAGTCCTTTACAACATTTTAGGGCTAATTTTAGGGAGAAATTAAGGTTTTTTAGGGCTATTTTAGGAATTTTTAGGGATGAATCGAAACATTTTAGGGATAAAATAAGTCAATTACCTTTCATAAACATCAACGTGTTAACGTACAGATACAGTTCTATGTGGTATGTGTCCAGTCTACCAGCTATTCCTATCCTCCAAGTCCTCGATACGACTGTACATCATCAAGTTTCATGCAAATTAGGCATGTCTTGTACATCCAGCGAGGAACAGGGTCGTATAATCAGACACTGAAGCTTAGGAATCACTGGTAGACTGAGAGTCACAATACTTACTCTGTATAAAGATAACTAGAAAACATCCATTAGCAGGGTCTCCAACCCTATGAACTCCAAATGCGGAATGTTCCCGCGGTGATCAGTAACTAGTGGCGTATTCAGAAATTGATGGGGGGCGAAATGTACCTTGGCTGCCGCAGGCAGGCCCACGTGCCGTAGGCATGCCAGTGCTAGGGGGGGTCTGGGGGCATGTCCCCCCAGAAAATTTTGAGATAGTTAAGCCATTTTCCTGCAATCTGAGGCATACTGTGGGCCATATTCTCATGTCTGATAACACTATCTCAACCCTACAACCCTTGTCTAATTAGCAGACAAACTATGCAACATCTTGCAGACAGCGCATGTCTGACTACCTAACTGTCTGATAGGCTGTTCCATTTACCGTAGACATGCCAGATACAAAATGCCTGAAAAAAAACAATGTGTCCAAGCGAACAATGCGAACAATCAGTGCAAATTTTGTACAGTGCAACTGAAATGATGAATATAACCTTGCCGCTGCAGAATGCGGAAATTAAGCCTAGAAATCGTAATGATTCTGCAGAATCAGGAATGGTTGGAGACCCTGCATTAGACATAATTACAAACCAAAAGTTCATCATCTCATCACCAAAAACTCCAAACATATCTTTGAATTTTTTTTTTAGGAATTTGAATAAAATTTTAGCCCTTTTTTAGGAATTGCATACGTTTGTAGTTTTTTTAGGAATTTTAGGGCAAGCTCAAAATTTTAGGAATTTTTAGGAATTTTAGGGCCGCTGGAAAGCCTGTGATATATACTTGCCTGACCAGCATAACTATAATGTTTGCACGGGTTATGTACTTACATCCCATGCTTCGAAACACTGTCGCCTAACCTCACTTTGTCTGACTTCATGTAGAGAGCTGTAAGCAAGTTAGATGTCTAGATTAGTCTAGATGTGGAGCTTTATTAAAATTAATCAGCAAAAATAACTTAACATATTAAGGCCCGTCTCCACACACGCGGCGCGGCACGGAACGCCATACTGGCGGAAGGCCGAGGCCGCGAGACAAAACCGAGCAGAATCTCCACATTTACTTCCCGTCCCGGAAAACTCCGCGGCCGCCGTGCCGTGCAGAGACTCGCGCCCATAAATATCATAGATTTGCAACTTTGCCGCGTAGGTGGTGAACTACGGCCGT